ATTACTCTTCAGTATTTGCATAGCATCTCACAGACTTAAATGAAATATTGGTTGGCTATTTGTTTTTTTCTTCCCTTATTCCTTCTTGTCTTTGTTGTTAAGTGCAATTATTGGCATAAAAGAGGTTTTTAATACCTTTTTAAGATTGCATTCCAGCCTGGGCAATAGAGCAAGAATCCTGTTCTCTCTCCCCCTTTTTCTTTCTCCCTCTTTTTCTTTCAAAAAAAAATAATAAAATAAAATAAAATTACCAAAGATTACATAGGAAGAAGCAGAAAACATCCATAGATCAATTACATAAAAGAGATTGTCAAACGATTAAAGATTTACTATTATAAACAGTACCAGGAGCAGATGAATTCACAACCAAGTTTTATCTAACCATTTAAAAATAGTTAACTTCTATGTTAGTGTTACTGTTTCAAGTCATTGAAAAAGATTTTAAAATTCTTTAATTTTTTTTAACAAAACCTGCAGAGTTTTCATATCAAAGCCTAACAATAATTATGCAAAGAGAAGAAAAACAAAGGCCATTTGCACCTGTGGGTAGCTATGGAAAAAAACAAAACAAAACGTTAAGCATTACCAAATAGAATCTTGTGATGCATGAAAAGAACAAACATCAAACATATATTTTTAAAGGTAGGGCTCACTGAAGGAATGAAAGACTATTTTGTTATCTATCAAGGTAATCCATTACATCAAATATTTGAAAGTAAAACCCCATGTAATTATATCACTAGCTGCTAAAAAGTTAGTTTATAATTCAGCTATAATTTATAATATTTAAAATATAATTTATTAAACCAAACATCTAAGGTTGTTCCAAATGACAAAACACTAAAACAATTTCAATACAATTCAGGAACAATATAGGGGTAAGTGCAAATCCTGTTATCATTATTGTGGAACTAGATTTTAGCAAGTAAGTCACATAGAGGAAACTATAAAGTACTTAGAGATAATTTTTTTTAAAGGAACGGGTTCTATGTGAAGAAAATGTAAATCTATTGATAGATATAAAATAAACTTCATAAATTAAAAGTCTTTAAATTTTCTTTTATGAAAAGGTCTGGAATAATGAAAATGTTAATTTGCCAAAAATCATTACTTAAATGTAATCTCAATTTTAGTCCTTACAGGGGTTTGGAGGAAGCAGGTAAAAAGACATCAAAATATATAGAAAGCAAACATTTCGGAGAACAGTCAAACAAATTTTGATAAAGGTAGATAGTGAACAAGGACTTGCCTTACTATTAGAGTATACTATTGAAAATGGAAATAAAATTAATATAGTCAAAGGCATAAGAAGAAAAAAAGGATCAGTAGAACAGAATAGAGAAGTCCAGAAAATACTTAATTTGATATTTAATCAAGAGGGAAAATAATGAATTATTTAGTAAATACTGCTGCCACAGAATGCTACCTATCAGAATGAAGATAAAATTAAACCCTATTTTATACTATATTGTTTTCATACAGATTAAACCCTTAAATAAATTTAAGAAATAAAATATGGGAAGAAAACCTAGTATACAATCAAGTACAATCCAGGAGAAGGAAAAACATTTTTGTCTTCATAAAAGACATTTTTGACCAAATGAAACCTAAACTTTTGAATGGCAAGATAATTATATATTATGTATTATAATGTTAGGCATGTTATATAATAAATAAATTTCATACATAATCATACAAAATATCTAATAATTTACAAAATTTATTTGGGAAATAATATTTACAATGCAGATCAACAGATATTTACTAACTATAATAATCAAAAGCTCTTACTGAATGACGAAAATAGGAGGTGAAGTCCAATAAAAAAGAATATGAAGAGGCAAACAAATGCCCAACCAACATATGAAATGTTCTTACTTTAATTTGCATTTCTCTGACATCTTTTTACTCCTCATTAGATCCCCAAATTAGAAAGAGTTGAAATATCCATTGCTATCAGGTTCATTGAGACAAGAGTTCTTTTATAAATTGTTGGTGAAAATGTGAATAGTTTCAGATGACTAACAATCTGACAAAATATAAAAATTTATTAAACACATGTATTTTAACTCAGTAAATCCCACTGCTGGTGTCCACCTACGTCATGAAGTGAAAGCCACTAATTTTTTAAAAATGAACTTTGTATAAACAGATATATATATTGAAGCATTGTTGATCTGGCAATAATATAAAATAAGTAAATGTACCTCAGGTTAGGAATGACAGAGCAAATTAGATTACAACTACATAATGGAATACTATGGAGCCATTAAAAAGGATGAGAAGTTGAGCAGTTGTTTTGGAGAGATTTCCAGTAGATATTTGGTAAAAAGAAAGCAGAAAGTATAAATCTGATTCCATTATTATAAAATAAACAATGATGAAATGCTATATTTCTAAATAAATATTTATGAATATATTATTTATATACAGAAGGATGTGATCACAGCAAAAAATGCAAGTGGCTCCATATTAAGTTATTAGTGTGGGATAGCTGTGTAGTCAGACTGGGGCCATATGACAAATTCTGGCCAATGGACTGTGAGTAAAAATGACTCATGCAGTTAAGAAATGATGTGCCCTCTGCCTGTAATCTCAGCACTTTGTGAGGCTAAGGCAGGTGAATCACCTGAGGTCAGGAGTTCGAAACCAGCTTGGCCAACATGGTGAAACCCCGTCTCTACGAAAAATTCAAAAATTAGCTGATCATGGTGGCACACCTGTAATCCCAGCTACTGGGGAGGCTGAGGCAGGAGAATCACTTAAAACCAGGAGGCTGAGGTTGCAGTGAGCTGAGATTGTACCACTGCACTCCAGCCTGGGTGACAGAGCGAGACTCCATGTCAAAAAGAAAAGAAAAGAAAAGAAATGTGCCTTCTGCATCTCTATCTTCCCTTGCCTTGGCAAACCTGAAAGCCACATATTCCACATGGCATAGCTACAAGCTTGAGGAAGACTGCCAATCCACATCAAATATAGCATAAGGAAAATTAAATTTATTTTTAAGCCTTTTCGATCTTAGCATCTTCTTCTTATGGCACTTATATTAGTTATCCTACTTCAGCTATTTATTTTTGAAATGAGTGGTTGCTAAAACTAAAAACTTAAAATACAAGCTGTGTATTACTGGGAAACAGGCAGTGAGAAAATTGACATGAGATGAAAGAAAGAAATTGATGTTATTCAGTTGGGGAAAAAGTGAAGCCGTCACTTGTGGTAACGGGCAGCAGAACAGATCATATCCTTAGCAAAAGAGATTATAAGAGACAACAATTAGAAGTGAATATCAGCTATTGAGACTGCTCAAGCTTTGTCAGAATATTACAAGAAAATTATAAACTCAGAAAAAAATTGGCTGATTTGCAAGCAGATTTGAAAAGGAACACAGAGAAAACAGATATTTGAGGCCATACAGGGTTGGGAGAAACTACTTGTCAACCTCAAAGAGTATGAAATGGTAACAACAACAAAAGATTTTAAAGAAAAGTGCCCCATAAACCTCCTTGTTGGCAAAAGCCGTCACATTCAGATTTCTCACCCTCAAGCCTGAAATCCTCAAGGCAACTATTATTAAGCTAAAGGGCAAGTGCAGAGATGAAAAACCAAACAAATAAAGCAAATCTGAAAACTATGCCTCAAAAATATTTAGGATGTGGTTACTGGCACATGGAACTGAGAAAATAGATAAGAAGCCTACTGCATTTTTTAAGTATTAAGCCTACCAAGATTTTTAACTACATTGTCAAATAAACTGTTAGCTTAGACCACTGTGACATTTGGCTGTTCAAGACATGGAGGCTTCTACTTCCCATCAAGAGAGATTTCCATCCTACATAAAACAACTAAGAAATCAGAGAAAATACATGAAACATTGCTTCTTGAGACATCAGAGATGAAGCAATAAAGGAAAATGATGGGAGACAAACCAGGTGAGCCCTACAATTATCCTAGCTTACAGCCTGGAGAATGTGTTCAGCCAGGGCACAAATGGGGAAATTCAGGTGAAGCATGGCAGGCTCCCTGAGTTGAGGAGACAGAGCTAAAATTTGGAGGGAATACAACATAACTAGATTTTGCGGGATAGAGTACCAGAGAGGAGAGAGCTGCAAACAGAGAGAATTCTAGATATCTGCGTAGGGTTCTTCTCAAGTATTAATCTGAACATTGATCAGCACATGCATGCGATGAAGTACCAAGACTGGAAAAAACCCACTGGACAGGATTAGATGGAGCAGTCCCACCAGGTAGAGTGTAAAACCTAATATGCATGGAGCTTTAGTTAGAGTACTCAAAAGGATTTTGTCTCAAGGCAAGAAAAAATTAGCTTCTGACTACATACTGCTATGTTCCAGCCTAATGAAACTTAACAAACTGTTTCTAAATAGTCTCCCAGACATGGTGGCTCATGTCTGTAATCCCAGCACTTTGAGAGGCTGAGGCTAGTGTATAGCTTGAACCTAGGAGTTCGAGACCAGCCTGGCCGACATAGCAAAACCCCATTGATACGGTTTGGCTGTGTCCCCACCCAAATCTCATCTTGAATTGTAACTCCCACAATTCCCATGTGTTGTGGGAGGAACCTGGTAAGAGGTGATGGAATTATGGGGGTGGGTCATTCTTGTGATAGTGAATGAGTCTCCTGAGAGCTGACGGTTTTAAATATGGGAGTTTCCCTGCACAAGCTCTTCTTGTGTCTGTTGCTATGTGAGATGTGCCTTTCACCTTCTGCCATGATTATGAGGCCTACATCTCTTCCTTTTGTAAATCGCCCAGTCTCAGGTATTTCTTTATCAGCCGCATGAAAACAGACTAATACAGTAAATCGGTACCAGTAGAATGGGGCATTGCTGAAAAGATAACTGAAAATGTAAGTGACTTTGGAACAGGGTAATAGGCAGAGGCAGGAACAGTTTGGAGGGCTCAGAAAACAGGAAAATGTGGGAAAGTTTGGAATTCCCGAGCTTTGACCAAAATACTGATAATGACATAGATAGAAAAGATCCAAGGACTTTTTCTTCCAGCCTCCAACCACCCTCCAATTTCCTTTTGCAACCTCTGGGACCGTCTTCTCGGCCATCTCCTGCCTCTGGGCCCAGCCAACACCATTTTTGTGGTTAGCTCCTTCTTGCCAACCAACCATGAGCTCCCAGATTCGTCAGAATTATTCCACTGACATGGAGGCAGCTGTCAACTGCCTGGTCAATTTGTACCTGCAGGCCTCCTACACCTACTTCTCTCTGGGCTTCTATTTTGACTGCGATGATGTGGCTCTGGAAGGCATGAGCCACTTCTTCAGTGAACTGGTCGAGAAGCGCGAGGGCTACCAGCATCTCCTGTAGATGCAAAACGAGCCTGGTGGCCCCGCCCTCTTCTAGGACAACAAGAAGCCAGCTTAAGATGAGTGGGGTAAAACCCTGGACGCCATGAAAGCTGCCATGGCTCTGGAGAATAATCTGAACCAGGCCCTTTTGGATCTTCATGCCCTGGGTTCTGCCCACAAGGACCCCCATCTCTGTGACTTCCTGGAGAGTCACTTCCTAGATGAGGAAGTGAAACTTATCAAGAAGATGGTTGACCACATGACCAACCTCCATAGGCTGGCCTGCCCAGAGGCTGGGCTGGGCAAGTTTCTCTTTGAAAGGCTCACTCTCAAGCACAACTAAGAGTCTACTGAGCCTAGCGACTTCTGAAGGACCCCTGGCAAAGTAACAGGGCTTCTACCTAAGCCTCTCCCTCCAGCCACTAGGCAGTTTTCCAACTACCCTAACAAGCCTTGGACCAAATGGAAATAAAGCTTTTTGAAGCAAAAACAATTAAAAAAAATTTTTTAAATCAGTCTTGCAACTCATATAATTGATAACATGATATTAAAAAAAACCGATTAGTCAAAACTAACACATAAATGACATCAATTATAGCATTAGTAGACAAGGTCATTAACACAATTATAACAGAATTCCAAATGTTTAAAAAGCTAGAAGAAAAATTGAACATGCTAATTAGAAACATGAAAGATATAAAAGAGAACCAAATTAAATTTCTAAAGATGAAAACTACAATGACCCAAACAAAAAATACTCTGGATAGGATTAATGGCAGATTAAACACTGAAAAGGAAAATATTAGTAGTGAACTTAAAGACACAGCAATAGCAGCTATCCAAAATGAATCACAGAGAAAAAGAAAATACTAAAACACAAAAGGACAGAGTTTTAATGAACGGTGCAACAACTTCAAGCAGGCTAATATAGACATAATTTTAGTGCCCAAAGTATAAAGGGGGGAGGACAGAAAAAACTGAAGGAATACAGTCATCCCTTTCTATCTAAGAAGATTACTCTATCCAGAAATCCCTGCAGATACCAAAAATCCAAGAATCCTTAAGTGTCTTATATAAAATGTTATAGTATTTGCATATAACCTATGCAGATTCTCCCATACACTTAAGTCATCTCCATATTATAAGTAATATACATTGTATTAGACATATAATATAATGTAAATGCTATGTAAATAGTTGGTATACTCTATTGTTTTTCATTTGTATTCTTTTTTATTGTTCTTTTTATCATCAGTTGATTGAATCCTTAGATGTAGAACCTATAGGTATGGAGGGCCAACTGTGATGCCAAAATAATGACCAAAACAATTTCAAATTGGATGAAAAAACTATAAACTTGCAGATCCAAAAAGCTCAAAAAATGAGGAAAATTACACCAAGAACTATCATAATTAAATTTCTTAAAAATAATAATAGAAAAAATCTTAAAGCAGCCAAAGAAGACACATTACCTACAAAGGAACCAAGATAAGGATGAGAGCACATTTTCATTAAAGTAATGAAAGTGAAAAGACAGTGGAGCAACATCTTTAAATTACAATCATGCATCATTTAACAATGGGAACACAATCTGAGAAAAGCATTCTTAGGGGATTTTGTCATTGATTTCAGTCCCATAATTGGCACAATATTATTCCTAGCTGCACACATGTGCCGTGAAGACTGGAGAGAGGCCAAATTATTTATGTGCTCCTCCCTGACCCTGAGAATGTGTACCTGCACTTAGGAGGCTAGAAACGACTTGGTGAAAAGTAAAACCTGGGACAGACTTAAAAATGGACTGAATTTGAACGTGCTCCCTTACCAACACAGATTAATTTACAGATGTCAGAGGACTTACTGGCTTGAGGTGTTTGAGCATGACTTCTGTCTAATCGTTGGCTGACCCTACACAACTGCAGGGGCAACCCCTAGGAGTTCAGTCTTGAAAGTCAAAATAAGAACTAAAAGAAAACACACAAACAAACAAACTAAACTAGCCAGAGATATTTGTGACCACGTGCTGTAGGGGAGTCAGATTTCACAAATTTAGCCTGGAAAATTTATTAAACAAAGAACAAACAAACAAAAGGGAACAACAGCAACAACCGTTAGGGCAAAAATAACAGCATCTAGAGTTGCTGCAAACAATGATAACATGTGCAAAGAAATTGAAAACTGTTATCCATTCAGGAAAAATACAAGCAATCAACAGAAACTGTCTCAGAATGTCTCCATGAATTTAGCAGGCAAAGACTTCAAAGAATATGCGATAAATATGTTCAGGGTACTTAAGTAAATTACCTTTAAAGAACTAAAACAGAGTATGGCAACAATGAATCGACGAAGATTTTCAATAAACTTTAAAAAAAGACCAAGTGAAAAATTTCGAGTTAAAGAGTATAACTGAAAAATCTAAAAAAATCCACTAGAACAGTTCAACATCAGAGTTGAGGTAGCAGAAGAAATAAACTGATGAATCTGAAAATTAATCAATAAAATTTATCCCATAAGAACAGAAAGAAAAATATTAAAGAAAAATATTCAATCTCAAAGACACATGAGGCGTGATCAAGATACCAACATACATGCAGTGGGATTTCCTGCAGGACAGTAGAGAGATAAAGACACAGAAAATATATTTCAGGAAGTAATGGATAGAAAATTCCCAAATTTGATGAAAAACATTGAACCTTATTAAACTCCAAGTAGCATAAATTTTGAAAAATCCATATAGACACAAGCTATTGAAAGACAAACAGGAAATCCTGAAAGTCTTAGTAAGAGAAAAGTGACTCATTATTTACAGTGCAGCATCAATACGAGTGAAGACTCGTTTCTCAGTAGAAACATTGGAGGCCGGAAGGCAGTGAAATGTCATATTCAAAGTGCTGAAAGAGGAGTTCGAGACCAGGCTGAACAACATGGCAAACCCTATCTCTACAAAAAAATGCAAAAATTAGCTGGCCATGGTGGCACGCACCTGTAGTCCCAGCTACCTGGGGGACTGAGGTGGGAGAATCACTTGAGCTCAGCAGGTTGAGGCTGCAGAGACTCAACATTGTGCTGCTGTACTCCTGCCTGGGCAACAGAATGAGATCCTGTCTCCAAAAATAAAAATAAAATAATAACAATGAAAAATAAAGTGCTGAAAGAGAAAAAGAACTATTAAGAAGTCTACACCCACCAAAACTGTTCTTCAGAAAGGAAGCCAAAGTAAAAATATTCTCAGCTAGACAAAGTATTTGCTCCTCACAGACCTGCATATGCATAGTAAATATATTATTCTTTACTATATTATATATATTGTATAATTAAAGCTTTATAGCAATACTATGAAAATACTGAACAATTGAGAAAAAAGGATTTCTAACCCAATATCTTTGTTAGCACATCTTTGAAGGTTTTATACATTCTTTTCCAGTCTTTGTCCACTTGCATATACCTTTCACCTACAGTAATAATAGTGTAAAGATATGTGCTACAATGTATTCACTTTATGTATAATATCATTTTTAGTAATTGTAATAATATTTCATAGTGTATAAAAGTCATTGTTTAGTTATTCATTTTCCCAATTTGGGACATTTTCACTGTTTTTTAAATTTTGCTATTATGAATATCTTCATACATAAAACTTTTCCCTCATTACATTCTTTTCTAGCATAGATTCTAAGTAATGTGTTTACTGGGTCATTTTATATCTTAACTTTCTTGTCTCTGTCACTCCCACCACTTTATTCACTATTTTTCTTTTTGGATCAAATGCATACAAGACTAGCTACTGCTTTTGGCCTACCATCCTTTCTGTTTCACTGCTTCCACTTGACCTCCAACCTGTCTGGTGTTCTGGAATATATGGCATCCGCTTTTCTGTCTTAGAGCCTCTGTCTGAAGGCATGGAACAAACTTATCTAAAGAAAAATATATTATTTCCTTTAAGAAGACATTCCACATATAATCAACTAAAATACATAGAACTTAAAAGCGGAAAAAAAATTACGCTAAGGAAAGAAGTGGTGATAAATCCAATTATCAAGTGGAGTATAAGGTAGTTTACCCAGGAAGTTTTCATAAAGGAAATTACCTCATGTTGTGGCTTAAAATAGATACTAGACCTAACATGTTGAAAAAATAAAATAAGCAACAAAATGTACATTTGTTTACTGCCTGAGATCTTTTCCTTCTATGAACTCTGTTTGGGACTTGGCAAATTTGATTAAGTATGTTGACTATGGAGTGACCTGGAACCAAAGGCAGAGCACAGGATCAGATTGTCCAGGGTTAAATTCCTGATTCTACCACATACTAGCTATGGGAACTCAGGCAATTATCTAATTTCTCTAAGCCCTAGTTTCTTCATCTATAAATAGGGAATAAGTATATAGATTTCATAGGGTTAAAGTGAGAACTGAAATGTTCACATCTGTAAAGTGCCTAGCTCAGTAGATCTTAATCAACAGAAGCAACAGCAATCTAGTAAAAGTCTTGTACCCAGTGTGATGTAGGCTTCTTCAGGCATAATGTGTTTCATGAACTCTTCCTGGCATCCCTATCTATAAAATATACTCTAAACATAGAAAGTAGCTGCATATAAGAAATCTAAAAATTCTTGTTGAATCACTGGCTATCAGATTTATCATCCACTATGAAAAAAATACTTCAAATTAATTAAATTAGGTCAAGACTGAAATAAATAAAGCATACCTCACCAGTTCATTATAGGCATTACAAAGGTAGCAGCTTATCCTAACATTGTCTTTGAAGGAGTGCTTGATTTTGCTTAGTTACTACATGAAAAAGAAAAACAGGTAAAGGGGGGACCGCATAGTCTCTAGTTCTTAAATTCATGATTATTTTGTATTTCTTTGAACAAAAGGGTGATTGATGCAGTACATTTTCTAAGGACTTGAAAAAACAAAGGAAATTATTCCAAGAGTAACTATTACAAATTATTTTTTAATTATCAGATGCCAATGGAAAAGTCAATGATTCACTTTGGGCCCCTTGATTTTACCTAAGTCAGGATTCTAGCTAGTATGAGAATGACTGAGGCTGCAGACCAAGGTAATATTGGAAAAGATACCCCACTCTTTGGGACCTTGTCATCGTGGGGATTATGGATGCTGGGAGCTCTGGCAGGGTTTGGATCTTTTTTAGCCTTGCAGTCACATTTCAGTGGGGCCCTGACCAGGGAAAGGTGGAAAAGGTGTGTCTTCCTTTTGCCTCTGTAGAATCTCTACTGACATTGGCCAGACAGCTGCCAGGGACTGATGAGGTGCTTCAGATCTTCCTCCTGTGGCCCGTGGGGCAACAGGTAGTACTTTGCTAGCTGTTAAGTATGTTGCCAGATGGACATCTTTCAGCAAACAACAAGACTGTTTCCTACTCTGGCTCAGGGATCAGAACAAACCCTGCTGATTTATTTTCAGACTTTGCCAGTGTGAATGGAATTTAAAACAGTTTTTATGTCCAA